CACTTAATTCATATGTATTTACATATCTAACTTGCTTTTATACCACCCAAATCTTTCATATGACAAAAGTTATACCACTATTTTAACTTTTAAAAAGTGAAATATACCTTTGCATGCTAGGTAAGGGCAGCGGCGGAGCTAGAAATTGAAGTTTTGGTGGTTTGTATGTAAAAATTGAAGTTTTGGTGGTTGATATGTTTGTATTAGATGGAGCCTTCATTGCATTTATTTTATTATGGAGGATGAATCACGTCAGATTTGAGGCCAAAATTTTCATGAAAACTTTTAGTTCCTATCTATCATAAATATTTAAGAAATTTACATTCCAGCGGCTAGCACTCAATTCTTATGCATTTACATATTACACACTTAAACTTTCATATTTACATACATAGAACATTGATGCTTTAAACCTATGCATGAAAATATCTATTTGACTTTTAAAAGGTGGTAATATTACTGCTTTTGATGTGATATTAAAGGTTTGAGTGTTTTGTATGTAAGTATGGAAGTTTAGGTGTGATATATGTAAATTCATTAGAATTGTGTGCTATGTATGTAAATGGAGCTAAATATTTTTGTTTGTTATTGGGGTTGACATTGAAGAGTATTTCATTAAAATTCAAACCATGCCTCACAATGTTTCTTTATCTTTCATCTCATTTCTGCTTCTGCTTTTATTTTTATTTTGGGAAATTTACATACTTAGCACACAATTTTTATGTATTTACGTATCTCACACCTAAACATCCATATTTACATTCATAGTAGTTTTGTGCTTTAACTAAATTGTTCTAATATTTACATATCTCACACCTAAACATCCATATTTGCATACATAGCTCTTTTGTGCTTTAACCAAATGATTCTATTAGCTTTGTTTTCTTATTTGCTGCAGAATTGATCATATATTATTAGAGACAACAGGATTGGCTGATCCTGCACCTCTTGCATCTGTCCTTTGGTTGGATGATCAACTGGAATCAGCTGTGAGACTGGACTCTATTATTACAGTATGTCGTTTCCCTGTTTTTACTTTCAGGCTCTTTTATCATGAAATTGTCTCAAAAATCTATTTACAAGTTCGTCGCTACCAATGTGCCTTTTTGGTAGCCTGTTGATGTTGGGAGAGTTAAATAAATAAAAAAGGTAATGACAATAGATAGAAAGGATGAAAAATTGATGGAAATAAATAAGAAATATTTAAGAGAAGTGTTTAACAAGCAACCGTTGTACTTGAACTAAGGGATTGCTTCTTTATAAAGGGTTTTATTTCTCACAATTGATAAAGAATTAAACGAAGATTTACATGCATACTACTCAATTCTTATATTAAACTTCAATTACATATATATGCATGAAAAGGTGAATTTCACTTTTTACAAGTTAAAGTAGTGCCATTTTTAATCTGATATGAATGGTTTGGCTGGTATAAATGTAAAAAAAAAAGGAAGCTTAGGTGTTCGATAGATGCCCAAAAATTAAGATCCAAGATAGATGAGGTGGAGAGGTCTTCATATCCACAATTAGACTTTATTAATCCATGTCATGAGCCATTTTACATGCCCCAAATAAATACTTGTATTTATAGATGTGTCGGCCGTTTTATTGTTCAACTTTCGTAGTTTGGAAATGTGATGATTTTGTGATTTTGAAAATAATTTAAATATAAATATAACTTTTTGAAAGAACATTTTAATTTTTAAAATAAGTGAGATCAAACGAGTCTCACATTTTTAAATAGTTTAGATGATTTAATATAACACTACAAACAATACATTTATCCCGAAGAATAAATATATTACTTGTAATAGGGATTTAATCATCTAGACTAAACAATTTGTGACATCCGTTTTGATCTGCGAAATATTTTATAAAAAGACCAACAAGTTCCCCTATTTAATATAAAAAAAATTAGATAGGGTTTATTTTATCTGGGTTCCTGGTTCCCTATAGAGGCAAGCCCCTATAGTTAATTACATCTTAAATGATCGAAATCACTTAAGAAAACTCTCGATTAAGATCAGGTGGTTTTGTTTTCAAGATTTCAAAGTTTAGGTTTTCACGATTGGACATGGGAAAATCAAATGGGAATGACTCAAAATAGGAACAATTATTTAAGGAATCCAAAG